TATATATATATATATATGAGAAAAATTGACATGCTTGATGCCAAGCATAAATTTTGGTGTTTGGTAGTGAGGTGGCGCGTTCTAATCTACTTCTTCTAATTGTCTAACCCATGTGCACCCATGTGAATGTGGTCTCCCCTTTCAGTGAGTGGATGTTAATGAGCCATCTCACTACTGAGCAGACCCATATCCCTATACACACACATACGTATATACGTATATGTACGTACAAAGGAACGCAATCATGCTTGCAGAGAAGAAAGACACAGGGTCTTTTATATGTAAGATATAGAGTTGCGGTGGGCTTTTGTACAAAATTGCGCACAAGATATTTCGGCCACAAGCATACGGGTAAGAGAGGGAACCTTATGAAATATTTAATTTGATTATCTAGGTATCCATAATTTTTTTAAATTACGGATAAGATTATTCAAAAAGATAGATTAGGAAATATATATTTACATTGACATTAGAAGATTGAATTGGACTAGGATTAGATTCATGAATTCTAATTGGAAGATGAGATTACTAATGAGCCTTCTCACTAAACCCGCTGACACTTATGGGCCTTTGGGATGCTAATATCAATTTGATATTTTAATAAAAAAATACTTTTTATACATAATAATATTTTTAAGGAAATATTCTATTATTTATAATTTACGTACTTCTAACAGTATTTATAGATGTATCTTGGGACGAGGTCTCACATTGGATTATGTTAATTGAGCTGAGGCCAAGGTTTTAAATATCGGATATCGGGGAAATATCAGAAGGCCAAAATTCATATCGGATCGCGGATATCGGGGAAATATCGGGGATATGTGGTAAATATTAGAATGTCATAATGAATGTTTGCATACATAGTATAATGCATTAAAATGTAATCTCAACATATGTAATAAATAATGAATGTTTGCATACATAGTATAATGCATTAAAATGTAATCTCAACATATGTAATAAAATTTAAGCATACAAAATATGAATAATATATGTTTAGGATCACTAATCAACCTTCTAAAACAAACCTTCTAAAACAAACAAAAGTGCAAAGCAACGTTGCAACATTCAATCTGCTTTTTTAGGGCAAAATGTCATTTGATATAATGGGAAAATCTTGATATCTCGCCCAAAAATTCCAAACATGGTATATTATTTTGCAACAAGCTATATAAGAAGATATATTGGTCCACATATCGGCTAATATATCGACTATATCGGAGATTTAAATAGCCAAAAAGCGGTAAAGGATATTTAAAGACCATATCGGTTGCGGCAAGCCCTGTAAAAGGATATATCGGGGAATATATTGGGCCATGTCGAGGATATTTAAAACAATGGCTGAGGCGCAATGCGAGGCTTTGCTGACACGTGCAGATCTGGACGTAGAGGTGGAGCTCTGTCGGCTTCGTTGGCGACTGCGCAAGCTTACCATGCAGGTGCCTCGCTGGCCTCCACACAAGCTTTTATGCAGACTGATAAGCAGTATAGGTATTAGTAATTTAGTATGTATACGAATATGGACTTTTGGACTTGAATGCAATAGTTGAAAAGTATGCCGAGTATAATGAACTTGGACCAAAATATTAAGCTTTCATTATAGTAATTACTACAACATTTGGTTTTAGGTTAGGATTAATGTTGTTTATTGCAGCAGTTGGACTGATGACCTTCGGCTTAGGGCATGTTTGTTTGCACGGAAGTAATTGTGAACTAGCTGAAGTAAAAGAAGTAAAAACTATTTCTGCTACTTCCAAGCAAAAAAATGTGTTTGGTTCTCTGAAAAACTTATTTCTAATACTTCCCTAAATGCTTATGTGGCGCCTACGTGTCATCCTTACTTCCAAAATATTTTTTTAATCCTCAATACTCAGAAGTAGCTCGGAAGTAGTTGAAATGCATATTAATTAGGACATAAATAATTTTTTTTATTAATATTTCCTTTATTAGTTACTTCTAATAACTTTTCATTGATAAAATTACTTCGTAGTAATATTTTCAAATGTTATCCAAACAAAAAAAGTAAATGAAGAGGAAGAAGTTCTACTTCTATTATTTCTAAAAATATATGAAACAAACAAAAAAAATGCTATTTCCACTACTTCCTACTTCATAGCTTTGAAAGTTACTTCTATAACCTACTTTTTATTTCTAATACTTCCATTATCCAAACGGGCCCTTAGGAATAATGGCTCAATAATGAGTGACCTTTGGGATGCATATATCGAAATTGGATACAATTCTTGGGCTGTCTTTTTGTCTATGTGAAGAGGCTGGCCTCCAGAGGATGCAAACATTTAGAGATTTCCTCATATTATAACGAACCCATATTTTCCTACATATTCCCCAGTTAAAGTTAGTCTGCCTAGCTTGATTGTAGAGCTGGTTGACATCTAGAATAGCTGGTAGTTGCACACTAGAGCAGTCTGCTTGTTCCTGCATGCTGTTCGATCTTGGGATCCTGCATCGGAATAGGCTGCCGCTGAATAATGCTTTAAGATTAGTGTTTGAGGACACACAACAACTTTGCTCCCAGTAGACAAAATTAGTCAGGAAAGTTTCAAAATCATGTTTCAGTTTGTCCCTTTTTCTCCAACTACTCCAGCATTAGAAAAAAAGAAAAAAAAGAAAAAAAAAGAAAAGAAAAAGATTTTGGTAGGGTTATAAGATTCTTATTAGTATTTTTTAAGTCCACTTCATCTGTGTATTTTTCCATGAGGATACAAGATATGTGATCTCAGATGAGTCATAATAGCACAAATTCTTTGGATAAAGACTCATGTTCTGTGTGTTTTTCTGAGTATGCATCTCTTCTTCTTATTGTTACATGGTTTGTCAGTTTTTTTGGCGATATCTTAATGAATTTGGACATCTTAAGAGTTAAGATACCATCAGCAAGGTGTGATCATCAGATACTAAACGTGTCAGTTTGGCATCTTGTATCTACTTAGTTGGTTTCTTTACGAATAGTCTATAGATTATAGCTTTATGCTAGCTAGAAGGTAAGGAATTTCATATTGTGACTTTTAACATGAATACGGGGATTCTTTTTCTTGTAACTGCCTTATCTGTTTCATGTTAAGTAGGTGCTACTTGAAACATGGTACAAATACAGTGCGGTTATCATGTCATTGAATATGATGAAACTTCATACAAGATGAAGTGAGTGCAATATCTCTTTTGGACATCTGCTTGATAATAACTAAGACAAGTAACCTGCATTTGATTTAACTCACGACTAAACATGCAAGCCAACTCATTCTATTTCCACTGAGGTGCTTTTGATTTCTAGCTCACACCTTTTCACATTTGATAGATTAATAAAAAATAGATCCATCAAAGAAAGCAAATGAATGTCCGCGCCATCAAGCTTAGTGATTTTTCCTTGCATAATAATGTAGTATCAAACTATAATCTTCATTAACGTGGTCCAGTACTGTTCTTGCAGTACGAGCATCTGGTCTTGCTGGAGTTGCTTAGAAAGGGTCACACAGAATCTGACAAGAAAATTGGTGGTGGAATCCAAGCATTCCAGGTTCGATATCATCCAATGTGGAAGAGCCGCTGCTTCTTCCTTGTGAGAATTGATGGTTCCAGTGATGATTTTAGCTTCAGAAAATGTGTTGATCACATGCTTCCTCTGCCGGAGAATATGAAAATCCATTCCTCATCAGATGGAAACAAGAAGTTCGGTGGACATAATAAGGGAGGAGGTCGTGGAGGAGGAAGAGGTGGACGAGGAGGCAGAGGCAGAGGCAGAGGCGGGTTCAGGAAATGAGAGCTGAGATTATTTTTGGAGATTGTAGTTTTTCTATTACAATTTTAGAGAATTTGACAATGAGTCGGCGGCTTAAAGAAGTGCGATACAAACTGTAAGTTTGTATTGCCAATTTTTGTAATGTTGAAATTTACTAGAATTTGCGTGCTTTTATGTTGTACCCATGTGTATTTCTTTTGAGATTTTGGACATCTGTCAGTTTCATCTTTTTGGCGTATCAAAGGCCTTAAGATATTTTCGCTTCGTCTATGTTCTTATTCTTGCTTAGTTTCTGTGTAGTGTGTCTACACTCGTATTCGTTTTATTATTAATAATATCTTTTCTAGTTTTTTCGACACAAAAAAGGGCCTAATCTCTTCAGTATCGTGTCACAGAGAGAGAGAGGATTCCGTCCAAGCACCTGCGATTTCAAAATACTTGCATGAGATCAGCTCCAAAGTTTCAAATCACTCATAAATTTGTTTAAAAACTACATTATTTTTTCCTATTGAACACATGATTAAGTTCGTAGGACCAATCTATCTAGCATTTTAGAGTTAATAGACAAGATAGCAAGACTAAGAACCCCCATCTATCGCAGCAGAAAACCATGTTGTGCGATTGGAATCTCAAATGCTGACATCCTCTCTCCTCGAGCGAAACCATTGCGATCGAACGATGATATCTCAGAGATATTCAGCTCCTTGCATGCGTTAACGAGTTCTTCTCCCACCCTTTGAGCAGCTTCCTAGAATCAAATGAAGATTTATGTGTTAATAGTCGAGAAAAGAATTCAAGTGAGATAAATGTGATACAACATGAATATGTTTATTTCTCAAATATAGCAGTAGGGTATGGCAAAGCTTAATCAAACTACCAGTTTAATCTCAATGAGTTGGCTTCTGGACTTGTTAGAATATAAAAGAATAACCCTCAACCATCGCTATAACTTCATAGTTTTGGTGCAGTGGAGTGGCAAAGACTCTAGGATGATATAAGGGAAATCTAGGTTCCAAACCTGGATGCCAGGGATTTCTGAAGTGGATTAAAAAAAAACCCCATTGCCACATTTTTAATAAAAATATTCACATAACTATACAATTTTGGTCACAGAGCATACAGGCAGGTGCCGATTCATTATCAGGGGCATACACATAACGTTGGATAATCATACATAAAATGTCAGGTATAAGCATTGTATCGTGGGAAAAAAAACGTCACCGAACCATATCGATCAGATACACATATTTGCAAAATTAAAATTTCTAGAGGAAGGTATATGTACTCACTACAGTGGTACAAGTTGGCTCGCCTCGGATGGATTTCTGCGAAGTGCTCGCATAAAACAGGGTCTTCTTATTTTGATCATCGACCAACATTGCATACAATTGTTTGCCAGAACAGAAAACAGAGAGCCTTGGCTTTGTAGGTGAGCCATTGAACTGCCTCAAAAAGAGAACATGGTATGCATAAATATTTCGACGAAGAAGAACAAAACGCATCCTCAGACAATTATTCACGGGAAAAAATCGTGCCATAAACTGGTAGAATCCCCTTTTGTGCAAATTTCATGAGAGGTAAGTAAGTCACATATTTGCAAAATTAAAAAAATACAAAAATTAACAAATTCAAAAATCAAAAAGCGACGAGGTACCTTCTTCTGTAATCTACGGTTCCGGACCTTTGCACTCTCCTTTCGAGCAATCCCTCTCGCTTCAATCCTTACAAAACCCCCCGAGGAAGTTTCTGAAAAAAAAAATTTAAAAACACAACCCCAAGTCAAGCAAGCAACAGAGGCAACTATTTGTACAAAACAAGTGAAAAGATTGAATCAACTCACGAGATGGGCGCGGAAATGCGATGCTCGGGGGCCTGTAGAAAAGATTTGAAGGCCTTTGGAAGGAGGAGAAGGGAGATTTTGGAGAGAGGAGAGACATTTAGAACTTTCTTGGGTAATTAATTCTTGTTTCTTCTCGACGGAATTTTGACAAACAGATCGTGTGCGGATTGCAATAGACTTCGAGTTCGGTGGCTTCGGTTGTGGAGTTTGCTTGGCGGGCTTTTGTTGCAAACCGAGACCTTTTATTGGGGAGGTATTCGTTTTGGTGTAGATTTTTGGGTTCGGTGAAGATTTGTGGGCCGGCCTAGGTGATTAATAGGCCCGGCTGTGTATTAACACCAACATGCCCTGTGGGCCTCGAAATGTAGAGCAAAGGTCCATTAAGCTCTACTTTCTTGAAAATGAAATTAATATAAATAAATATGAAACAATTTTGTGGTCTCTGTGTTAAAACTCCGTCAAAAAAATAAATATAGAAAAGTTAACAACTTTAAACTTTTAAACACTTTTTAATGCTTTAATACATTCCACAATAATTTTTAGGGTAAATTACAGTAAACCCCCTAAAACTTCATCGTTTGGGAGTAGACCCCCAATAACTTCCAAAATCGCACTATACGGCTATACCCCCAATAACTTTTTGCAGAAAACCCCCTATATCTTCTGAACAAATCACACTAAGCACCAAATAACTTTCAAAATACCTTTCTTATAGAGATTATGTATATGTACTTGCTCCGTTCGGAAAGTCATTTTAAAGTTAGAAACTGAATTTTGATCAAAAAAAAAAAGTTAGAAACTGAATATATATTGAGAATAAAATAATACCATAGGGGTTAATTATACAAACATGTAGAAATTCATTTTGTGGTAGGCGGAGACTACGAGTGTTAGAGATGCTACCACGTAAGTTGTTCATGGTGGGGCTGTAGTGTACGAAAAGGTTTAATTCAAATAAATCCCAATGTTAAGGGTTTTTTAAGATATTAGTCCCTAATATCCAATAATTGCATATTAGTCACTCATATCTTGAAAATTGCATACTAGTTTCTCAATTCCTATAGGGTCTTGCAAAATGATCTCTCTGTTAGTATTTCAATTAAAAAATATAATCATGATTGGGTTAAGTCTTAAACCAATATCTACAATCACCAAACTATATCTCTCCCCGACGTTTCAAATTCTTATGAAGCTCAACGTTAGGTTTTGATTCTATTTTAACCACCGGAGAAGAAGAACTCAAGTGGATTTAGGTTTTTTTAAGTGGATATGCAATTTAAACTCATTAAGAAATAGGTTGGGGAACATAATAAAGGGGTAGAACGATTGTTTTGCATCCGATAGATAGATAGATTGATGGAATATTTCTCTCAAATCTCATCTGATTTAACTTGAAGGACACCATTTCCGCAAGATCCAATAGTGTAGGAGGCACTTATGTACAATTTTCAAGATTTGAGAGACTAATATACATTTATTGAAAATGTAAGCGACTACTAGTAACTAAAACATACCTTTTGGGAATCATGCAAATAACGTCACTGGCATCCTAGAAGATGCATGTGACTCTTGAAGCTCAGTTCCTCTTTCAAATATATTATTGTAGAGGAACAAGGTTTCGTATTGTTCAATATTTCGAAATATAAAATTGAGCTTAAGATAATACGGGGAAATCTTTTGCCTGATGGAATCAAAATCAAATTTGATATTATAGTATATATAAAAAGAGATTAATGAGTATCATATGTCATATGAGAGGATTTTCTCATATACAATGATGTGGCACAATCTCTAATAAATATAGTTATGAGTCATTCTCTCTCTTACTTTATTTATTTGGTGGATATTGTGTCACATCATTGTATATAAGAGAATCCTGTCATATGACACATGATACCCATTAATCTCATATAAAAAATTTTGTGACAAAAGTGCTGGTCCTTCCTCTGGCTCTGAACATGGCCAAAATTTTGGTCGGATTGCTGCAAAACCCTGCAACAAAATATCAGAGCAAATTTTGCCACGGCAAATGTTGTGAATTTCGCAACGAAAAAGCATTTTCTCAAAATTACCCTTTAATCCTTTATTTCTAGAAGAAGAGTTTCGCGTTACTAGTTTAACTGCCAGTGATGTGATCAAGTTGAAGACGGGAGTATATAATGGTGCTTAATTTGCTTTTAAGTTTTGCCCATAATTCGTAGTATTTATTTATAAGCATTTATAATTGGAAGTAGAAGAGACATGGGAATGTGGAAGCTGATGGGCCTCACTTGAGGTTCGGCCTGAGATGTGGATCCCTTGACTTTGGTTCGGTGGAACGTTCTTTCTTTTTTTTTTTTTTGAATCCCGGTTTGTGATTTTGAGTCCTAAATTATGGGCTTTATACAGGCAGGCTGTTTTTTTGGGTCTATGTGGCGACTTCCCCCATAATTAGTTTCGGGACAAATTTGTAAAATAGACATGTTTTGCTAAATATTTAGCAAAACAGACCGTTTTGCTAAATATTTAGCAAAATAGACCTCATTTTGGCCAACATGTCAAAAAGATATCGATTTTAAAAAACGAACCATTCAAAACATACGGGACTAGAAGTCCCATATGATTGTCTGTTTAGCAAAATCGACATCTTTTTGGCCTATTGGCTTTTTTTGGCCTATTGGCTAAAAAAAGATCTATTTTGCTAAATATTTAGCAGAACGGTCTGGTTTGCTAAATACTGAACTAGAAATAAACTAAGCCTGGCCCTAAAAAAAATCCTAGTGGGTCAGGGGAAAGAAAGGCCATTTACACATAGAAGCTAGTTTAGCTAGAAATAAACCAAACTAGGTTTAACTCAAAAACTGATCCATATAGATAGTAGTTTAGCCTAATCAAGGCTATGTGTAACTGGATAAAAGCTAAACAGGGTTAGTTTCTAAGTTGTTAAACACACCCTAGGTTTAATGTTGGGCCTTCTTTTCCCCCACTAAATTTGTTTATAAGGAAGTTGACAAAAAGGTCCTTAGGGATTGTTTGGTCACTGCAGTTGCAAATGCAGCCCCCGATTACGGATGACCACCGACTTAGATAAAATTTTTGAGCTGTAAAAGTCCCAACATAGTTTTAAAAAACCTTTATATTACAAAATAATTGATTACAGCTATGACTGTAATTAAAACCTATAAACTTTTAAAATTGGGCCAATTAATGGCAGAGTTGCATGCAAGTGTCACTTGCATTGCAACTATAGTTGTAGGAACCAAACAACCTCTTAAAAAAATGTCAAAAGTTGAAATGGAAAAATTGACTCGCTCGCGCTAAAGTTGAGTATTAAATGAGAAATACAAAACCAATCTTCAGTTCTAGCATAATATGCATAGAGACACAGAGACTGTGCCTGTAAATGTGGAGATACATCAATGTTATATAAATTAATTAAGATTTATACATTAATGTTTTAAAAATTATTTTAGAAAAAATTCATTTGCTCCGGACTAACGTTGTAAACGATAATAAGATTCAGATAAAACAGCAGCTCTGATAAAATGTGACTTGATCTTGAGACTTCACACAATCCATCTCTTGTTTGATGAGATATTTCATTCACTTGAGCATACAAGTATCTTCTAACCTTAATTAGTACATTGCTGACACTCATATACCCAACCTTTGATGGCTTCATTTTATAAAGATAAATGGTGAATTTACTAGGATTGGATGATGATAAATCCTCCCACGACAGTATCTTCCATTTGAATTAGAAAACATATGCATTTCTCAAATGATAGGATGAAAGAAAATCCTAACCAAACACAAACAAACATGAACATGCACGTGCACAGAAACACACTTTCTTAATGCAAATTATGATCAAACAATAATCAAGTGCTCTTTTAACTTATTCTCAGAAATATCCCGTAAACCAAGAAAAGTATCTGCAATATCTAAATGGTAAAAAAAAAAAAAGTTCTTGCTTCGATCAAGAGTTTTAAACCACGAACCGGAAAAATGAAGTTCCGCAATCATGTGTGATGATGTCTTCGGGCCTCTTCAATTTATGCACCCAATTTGTTCGACGACAACTACAAACAAGAAGCTCCCAATATCATCCAACAATAAAAACTTGAGATCCAAGCAAAGGGAGGTTGAGTACTCGGAGCATTTTTGACAATTCAATACAACTAACATCACTTCAAGGTCTGCTTAACTTCAAACTTAAAATGTTGTGCTACTTAAAACAACTAAATTGTAGGAACGCTTATTTTGCATCATTTTCCTCGGTATTCTCACCATAACGTCGCTTGAACTTTGCGATCTGGCCAAGACTCTGAGCCATCTGACGCTTAGCTCTGAAATGATACACTTTACCAACATGGTGAATTTTAGTCATCAGGACATGCATCAGCCTCCCACTTTGAGTCACATAAGAAACATACTGCAGCTGAGGATGCATCCCTTTCTTCATCTTTTTGACCTGACAACCAACAAAACATCTTAAGTTTCAGGTAATGCCAATTTGATCCTGTACTAAATTTCTGCTGCAATCATATTCAAGTTAAATATGATACAGGACTTAATCATAACTTATGAGCGTCGAATCTGTTGGTCACATCTGAGCTTAATTCTATCTACTTGATTGCAGAAAGTCACTGTTTAATGAATGTGTTGAGTTACATAACAAAAGCAAATGAGGGCTAATGTTTAGTTCTTCCTTTTCTTTCTTTCTTATTTCGCCAAGAAAACAAGGGGTTAGTTGGTTAGAACCTTGCATTCCTTCATGTTGCAGCTCTCAAGTTATTTATCAGAATAGGTCAAGTAATAAAATCTCACAAATTAAATTGGCTAATCATGCCGGGAGGAGATCTTCTCCATCAAGAGTGGACATATTAGTTCGGGTTACTTCAGGCTGTTTATATACGATGCGCTTCTATCTTTTCAATAAACAAGAAGTTTCTTCCTTAGTAAAGGCAGTAGCAAGTACATGTCTGAAGCCTACTTGATTGACTGGGAATCAGTAACCATTATCGTCAAGCTTGATGACCGTATGTCAACTCTTCCAACCCCAACCCCTCTATAAACGAAACCAAGCTTAAAATGACTTAATCAATCCCAAGCTCTCAAACCCAATCGATATTCATAAAAATCAAAACATAATTGGTACATTGTTATCAAGGCGCAATGCGGGGCGCAAAATCCCCTTACGCACAGCATGCACAAGGTGTAATACGATGCGCATGCCT